GAGGTACACGTGTACGTCATCCTGCGTGAGGTACACGTGTACGTCATCCTGTGTGAGGTACACGTGTACGTCATCCTGCGTGAGGTACACGTGTACGTCATCCTGCGTGAGGTACACGTGTACGTCATCCTGCGTGAGGTACACGTGTACGTCATCCTGCGTGAGGTACACGTGTACGTCATCCTGCGTGAGGTACACGTGTACGTCATCCTGCGTGAGGTACACGTGTACGTCATCCTGCGTGAGGTACACGTGTACGTCATCCTGCGTGAGGTACACGTGTACGTCATCCTGCGTGAGGTACACGTGTACGTCATCCTGCGTGAGGTACACGTGTACGTCATCCTGCGTGAGGTACACGTGTACGTCATCCTGCGTGAGGTACACGTGTACCTCATCCTGCGTGAGGTACACGTGTACGTCATCCTGCGTGAGGTACACGTGTACGTCATCCTGTGTGAGGTACACGTGTACGTCATCCTGTGTGAGGTACACGTGTACGTCATCCTGCGTGAGGTACACGTGTACGTCATCCTGCGTGAGGTACACGTGTACGTCATCCTGCGTGAGGTACACGTGTACGTCATCCTGCGTGAGGTACACGTGTACGTCATCCTGCGTGAGGTACGTGTACCTCATCCTGCGTGAGGTACACGTGTACGTCATCCTGCGTGAGGTACACGTGTACGTCATCCTGCGTGAGGTACACGTGTACCTCATCCTGCGTGAGGTACACGTGTACCTCATTCTGCAGGACACTCTTCTTGCGAGTGTCTGGACCAGGCTACAGGTTCACGTATAAATGAGGTTTGGAACTGAATAATAATATTCGGTTAGCTAAGATAGTTAACACAGCGCTGATGAGCTAGTTATAAATAGTTAACCTGAAAATTAAATCTCTTCACAATTTATCAAACTAACATCGATCACGATCAAATAGGATGTATATTAGTAGTACATATTGTGAAATATACATCATAATGTCAGTGACTGTTAAATTACATATACTATTAATTAAGGGTCGGGGTAGTCAACCTGTCCTCAGATCCAGCCCATTCCATCCAGCGGTCGACCCCAAAGACACATTCATCAATTTTAACATGCTTTTCATTCAAAACAGGATTTTTTTTTCAAATATAAATTATTATTATATATTGACATATTGTGCATATGGATAATAAAAGCTAATTCAAAAAATAATACAAAATAACTAAAAAAACAAACCACAGTGTTAAAGTTACGTGAAGTGATCACACGAAGTGTAACTTGATAATTAACACATGGATAATCAACGCTAATACAACACTTATAATAATGACTACACATCTACAAAAATGTTTATAAAATTCCATTTTGCTTCTGATCTATAAATTTTTTTGTAAGTGTGTAGTACATTATTGTAAGTGTTGTATTAACGTTGATTATCCACTTGTTAATTATCAAGTTCCACTGTGATCACTTTACGTAAGTTTAACACTGTGGTTTGTTTTATTAGTCATTTTGTATTAATTTTTTGTATTAGATTTTAACCATGTGATAGTTATAAAGTTTTATTCGGTTTGATCACTTCAAGTAAGCTTAAGTGTTAAGGTTTATAACCAGCGTCGCTTAGTATCTCTTCTGACAGGTAATTGTGGTCAGCAGGAGTTCTGTTTAGTACTTGTTTTATTGTGACTTCTCTTGTTCTTTTACATCTGATGATGAATACGAGAAGTGTTCGAAACGTTATGCTTTTTAAAGTAAAGAATCTGAAACAAGATTTTTGTTATATCAATGGTTTTCCCATTCATTTTGATTATATATATATATATATATATATATATATATATATATATATATATATATATATATATATATATATATATGATAAATCTTCATATTATAAGTCAAACATGTTTTTTTTTCTTATGATTAGTTAAAATATATATAAAGTTGTAGAAAATATTCTTAAGAGATTTATTTATTTACCAATCATCACTATAATGGGATGCATGCTCTTTTGTGGTATATTTTTAGGAAATTAATTTTGTATACGCACTGTATATATTACCTACATACATTAGCACTGTATATATTACCTACATACATTAGCACTGTATATATTACCTACATACATTAGCACTGTATATATTACCTACATACATTAGCACTGTATATATTACCTACATACATTAGCACTGTATATATTACCTACATACATTAGCACTGTATATATATTACCTAAATACATTAGCACTGTATATATTACCTACATACATTAGCACTGTATATATTACCTACATACATTAGCACTGTATATATTACCTACATACATTAGCACTGTATATATTACCTAAATACATTAGCACTGTACAAATACAGAATTGGAAGAAGCTAATATTTTCCCTTTTACTGTAACACAATATGCTGACAAAATTAACTTCACAAGCTAAAGGAAGAAGCATATTTATCATTTATTATTCCTTTCTGACAGGCCCCAAAAATGACAAATTAACGTGCTGCTTGAGGTGTCGCAGGACGGAGGACAGTGCTCAAAAGTAGGACTGTCCTGCCTGAAGCAGAACGTCTGACCTAGCGTAGAACATCTCCCGTAGATAGTAACGGAGACCGTTATGACGACGGCAACATCGTCCTATCAGGTAAATATCATACCTTGCGTTATCTTAAGTCCGCCTTCACTACAGCCTAGTGTTGACACACGGCAGTCACCTGCTTGAGCGGCAGTCTTCATGCACCACACTGTATTACAGCTCTGGTGTCAGCAAGCACAACTATCGCGTCATGCACCACACTGTATTACAGCTCTGGGGTGAGCATACAGTACTATCCCGTCATGCACCACACTGTATTACAGCTCTGGGGTGAGCATACAGTACTATCCCGTCATGCACCACACTGTATTACAGCTCTGGGGTGAGCAAGCACAACTATCCCGTCATGCACCACACTGTATTACAGCTCTGGGGTGAGCATACAGTACTATCCCGTCATGCACCACACTGTATTACAGCTCTGGGGTGAGCAAGCACAACTATCCCGTCATGCACCACACTGTATTACAGCTCTGGGGTGAGCATACAGTACTATCCCGTCATGCACCACACTGTATTACAGCTCTGGTGTCAGCAAGCACAACTATCGCGTCATGCACACCACTGTATTACAGCTCTGGTGTGAGCAAGCACAACTATCGCGTCATGCACCACACTGTATTACAGCTCTGGGGTGAGCAAGCACAACTATCCCGTCATGCACCACACTGTATTACAGCTCTGGTGTGAGCAAGCACAACTATCCCGTCATGCACCACACTGTATTACAGCTCTGGTGTGAGCAAGCACAACTATCCCGTCATGCACCACACTGTATTACAGCTCTGGGGTGAGCAAGCACAACTATCCCGTCATGCACCACACTGTATTACAGCTCTGGGGTGAGCATACAGTACTATCCCGTCATGCACCACACTGTATTACAGCTCTGGGGTGAGCAAGCACAACTATCCCGTCAAAACAGTACATAGTTAGACAATAATTTATCTATATAAGAGTGATAATAACATGAACTAAATTAATGCGAGAGAACATCAGGTCTTCCTTTTCTAGTAGAAGTAGAAATTTAACGTGAATATCCACAAGTCACACACACACAGATCACAATAACGTGATGCAATCAAATGAATTTTACCCTGTCGTAGCTCGCAATCTGGGATGCTCCCGGACACACACCTGCTGACTTCCTACCACACCTGCTGACTTCCTACCACACCTGTCCGGCCACCACACCTGCTGACTTCCTACCACACCTGTCCGGCCACCACACCTGCTGACTTCCTACCACACCTGTCCGGCCACCACACCTGACTTCCTATCACACCTGTCCGGCCACCACACCTGCTGACTTCCTACCATACCTGTCCGGCCACCACACCTGCTGACTTCCTATCACACCTGTCCGGCTACCACACCTGCTGACTTCCTACCATACCTGTCCGGCCACCACACCTGACTTCCTACCATACCTGTCCGGCCACCACACCTGCTGACTTCCTACCACACCTGTCCGGCAACCACACCTGCTGACTTCCTACCACACCTGTCCGGCCACCACACCTGCTGACTTCCTACCATACCTGTCCGGCCACCACACCTGCTGACTTCCTACCACACCTGTCCGGCTACCACACCTGCTGACTTCCTACCATACCTGTCCGGCCACCACACCTGCTGACTTCCTACCACACCTGTCCGGCCACCACACCTGTCCGGCCACCACACCTGCTGACTTCCTACCATACCTGTCCGGCCACCACACCTGCTGACTTCCTACCACACCTGCTGACTTCCTACCACACCTGTCCGGCTATCACACCTGCTGACTTCCTACCACACCTGTCCGGCCACCACACGTGTCCGGCCACCACACCTGCTGACTTCCTACCACACCTGTCCGGCCACCACACCTGCCGACCTCCACACCTGTCCGACCACCACACCTGTCCGACCACCACACCTGTCCGACCACCACACCTGTCCGACCTCCACACCTGTCCGACCACCACACCTGTCCGACCACCACACCTGCCGACCTCCACACCTGTCCGGCCACCACACCTGCCGACCTCCACACCTGCCGACCTCCTACCACGCCTGACTACCCACCATACCTGCTGACTAACTGACACATCTGCTGACCATGCACCCACCACGCCTGCTGACCACCCACCACACCTGACCACCCACCACATCTGACCACCCACCACACCTGCTGACTAACTGACACGTCTGCTCACCAGCCACCACACCTGCTGACCAACCATTCCTAAATACATAAAACGCGACATAAATCAAACTCTGGTGTAAGTGTGTTTAAATAATTAAATCCTACATAATGAGACATTAAATTGAGTCTCGGGGTTTAACCAAATTAAGTGATTGTAAGATTTGTGTTTTTGTATTGATTGGAAAAATTCATTACATTGTTCAACGGGGGAAAGTTACCTTGACTTGAGAGTAGGGGTAGAGGTGAGGCAGGACGAGGGCCAGAGGATCACTGGTTGTCCTGGCAATGGGGTCTTGCCCTTATATACCAGGGGCATCTATACCTGGGGCGTCCTGTATATGTGACCCCTGCTGTCTGGCGGTCACCGCCTCCACTCCACTGGCACATTCGCGGCTTTCAAAGTTGGCGCCGCCGGAACAGAGCCTAATGCTTGGATACTATAGTCACTCCTGCAGTCCAATTACAATAATTATAGAAAACGAGTTATAACGGGTAACTTCGTTGTGGCCATGCGAGTACATGTAGTGATTCCCGCCAAATATGAAGTGAAAGTGAGGGTTGTTAACGAGGGTGTAGGGGAAGGGTTGGGAGTGGGCAGTGGGTGGGCACCGCCGGTGGGCAAGGTCAGCTCTCCCACACCGTCGGCCCGGCAGGAAACGTCTCAAACGACACCAAAAATTTCTCATTCTCGGACGAGGGACATGGTCCACCCACCCGCACATTAGTGACCGGAAAAGGGGAAAATTCCGCGTCCCATGAATGACCGCAAGACTAGAGGAGGCTGCTATGATGGCTGCTGGGCTGGGCGCATGGGGGGAAGGCTCTAGGGAAGAGGAGGCTGCTATGATGGCTGCTGGGCTGGGCGCATGGGGGGAAGGCTCTAGGGAAGAGGAGGCTGCTATGATGGCTGCTGGGCTGGGCGCATGGGGGGAAGGCTCTAGGGAAGAGGAGGCTGCTATGATGGCTGCTGGGCTGGGCGCATGGGGGGAAGGCTCTAGGGAAGAGGAGGCTGCTATGATGGCTGCTGGGCTGGGGGGAAGGCTCTAGGGAAGAGGAGGCATGATGGGCTGGGCTGGGCGCATGGGGGGAAGGCTCTAGGGAAGAGGAGGCTGCTATGATGGCTGCTGGGCTGGGCGCATGGGGGGAAGGCTCTAGGGAAGAGGAGGCTGCTATGATGGCTGCTGGGCTGGGCGCATGGGGGGAAGGCTCTAGGGAAGAGGAGGCTGCTATGATGGCTGCTGGGGGCGCATGGGGGGAAGGCTCTAGCATGGGCTGCTGGGCTGGGCGCATGGGGGGAAGGCTCTAGGGAAGAGGAGGCTGCTATGATGGCTGCTGGGCTGGGCGCATGGGGGGAAGGCTCTAGGGAAGAGGAGGCTGCTATGATGGCTGCTGGGCTGGGCGCATGGGGGGAAGGCTCTAGGGAAGAGGAGGCTGCTATGATGGCTGCTGGGCTGGGCGCATGGGGGGAAGGCTCTAGGGAAGAGGAGGCTGCTATGATGGCTGCTGGGCTGGGCGCATGGGGGGAAGGCTCTAGGGAAGAGGAGGCTGCTATGATGGCTGCTGGGCTGGGCGCATGGGGGGAAGGCTCTAGGGAGGAGGCTGCTATGATGGCTGCTGGGCTGGGCGCATGGGGGGAAGGCTCTAGGGAAGAGGAGGCTGCTATGATGGCTGCTGGGCTGGGCGCATGGGGGGAAGGCTCTAGGGAAGAGGAGGCTGCTATGATGGCTGCTGGGCTGGGCGCATGGGGGGAAGGCTCTAGGGAAGAGGAGGCTGCTATGATGGCTGCTGGGCTGGGCGCATGGGGGGAAGGCTCTAGGGAAGAGGAGGCTGCTATGATGGCTGCTGGGCTGGGCGCATGGGGGGAAGGCTCTAGGGAAGAGGAGGCTGCTATGATGGCTGCTGGGCTGGGCGCATGGGGGGAAGGCTCTAGGGAAGAGGAGGCTGCTATGATGGCTGCTGGGCTGGGCGCATGGGGGGAAGGCTCTAGGGAAGAGGAGGCTGCTATGATGGCTGCTGGGCTGGGCGCATGGGGGGAAGGCTCTAGGGAAGAGGAGGCTGCTATGATGGCTGCTGGGCTGGGCGCATGGGGGGAAGGCTCTAGGGAAGAGGAGGCTGCTATGATGGCTGCTGGGCTGGGCGCATGGGGGGAAGGCTCTAGGGAAGAGGAGGCTGCTATGATGGCTGCTGGGCTGGGCGCATGGGGGGAAGGCTCTAGGGAAGAGGAGGCTGCTATGATGGCTGCTGGGCTGGGCGCATGGGGGGAAAGGCTCTAGGGAAGAGGAGGCTGCTATGATGGCTGCTGGGCTGGGCGCATGGGGGGAAGGCTCTAGGGAAGAGGAGGCTGCTATGATGGCTGCTGGGCTGGGCGCATGGGGGGAAGGCTCTAGGGAAGAGGAGGCTGCTATGATGGCTGCTGGGCTGGGCGCATGGGGGGAAGGCTCTAGGGAAGAGGAGGCTGCTATGATGGCTGCTGGGCTGGGCGCATGGGGGGAAGGCTCTAGGGAAGAGGAGGCTGCTATGATGGCTGCTGGGCTGGGCGCATGGGGGGAAGGCTCTAGGGAAGAGGAGGCTGCTATGATGGCTGCTGGGCTGGGCGCATGGGGGGAAGGCTCTAGGGAAGAGGAGGCTGCTATGATGGCTGCTGGGCTGGGCGCATGGGGGGAAGGCTCTAGGGAAGAGG